ACTTCTCCTTCATTTGTGTACACTGTATTCCATGTTATTATTATTATTATTATTATTATTATTATTATTATGATAATGATGATAAAGTTTAAATAAATAACATAGATTCAATTTTCGTGAATTTTATTACTGGTTGTGATTAAAGGTTTACTCATAAAATCTTCTCCTACCTTCTCTTACTATAAGATACAAACTTCATCCCCCCACCCCCACTACTCTGTCTCTTCAATAGTGTAAACGCCAAGTCAAGTTAAAATGTCAGCTTTCTTTTTTTCTTTTTTTTTATTGTTTATTTATTTATTTATCTAAATGCCTGGTTTATTATCAAATTGTCTGGGTGAATTTATATCATTTAATAAAATGTAGTCGGTCTGATAAGGCTTATATATATATAGTGTGTGTGTGTGTGTGTGTGTAACTGTTAAAATAAATTTATATCCGTTTATAAGATGAATATTTTTTTTCCTTATTATTTATTTTTTTCTCATCATGGATTGAATTTTTAATATTTTTATATTATAAAAGACCTCCTTGAATATTCTCTAAAACTTATATATTTATAATATATATATATATATATATATATATATATATATATATATATATATATATATATATATATATTATTTGATATTATATATATATATGGTATTATATATATATACATATATATAATGTATATCATTTGATATATATATATGGTATGAAAGTTATATATATATATATATATATATATATATATATATATATATATATATGAATATATGTCCAAATAAAGAGAAAGAACAGTCAGTTTTAGAATCCACGGTTCTTAAAAATTTATTTTTTTTTTAAAAAAATTGCTCTATACAACGTAGTGCATAATATGATTTTCAGCAAAAGCTAAAATATATTTGATAATGGAACAGATTTAAGTTCCGAACATAAAATTTCCGTGTCATGATGTAAAATATTTTTTAAAAAAAAAATATATATATATATTTATATATGTGAAATTTATATATATATATATATATATATATATATATATATATATATATATATATATATATATATTGAAAGTTATGTGTCTGGTTTTTCATCTTGAATTGTGCGGGTGGTGCAATGGAAACGAGAATTCAGATTGCCGGTTTCGAATTCCAGTTGTGTTTGTTACATTCATTTGCGCAAATACCCTCTGGCTGAATCCAATACTCTTAGCTATGGGTTAAATAGTAGCACGTATCTAGAAAATCATTATTAACATTTATTTCAAATTATTTATTTATTTCAAATAACCCACAAAAGGATTGATAATCCGTAAAAAATATCAATCGGCAACTTAAAACTATTATAAATTTCTAATAATAGCCAGCTTATAAGCCGACGATTAGCGTCGCCATTTCCAAAGATAAAAATGGTATATGGCATACCTAATTATATTTTATATTCAGTCAGTTATGTACCATGCGTAATACACGCTTAGGCATCATGTATCTTTTGATACATGACTGACGAGGCAGATTTTTTCCCGCAGTAGGTTGACATATCTTTCTGGGGTAGACCAGTTGCCATCCAAGGCTATACTATAGATACCCGCAATTTGTGAATGAATGTAACAAGGTTGTCATTTCTTTCAATTGCCATCCACGGCTATAGAATCTGGTCTTTCCTGCTATTTACCCATAGTGTGGGGGAGAAGAAGATGATTCATACCTTTCTCAAGGGTATTAGCACGTAAGTGAATATAATGGATTCGACTGGAATTCGAACTCGGCTCTCCGATTCCTCAATCCGAGCCGCTATCCATTGTTCCATTACTCCACCGTGCCTCCACATATTTTATATTAGGGGGTTTAAATGAGAGGGGAAAATACTAGACGGCCCCTTACACACCCACAAACACACACACACACGCACACACACACTGCAAATATTATCTACTCATGGATCGACATGTAGATCGAGAATCTGAGTAGAACCAAAACTTAGAGATTAATGGTTTTAGCGTTAAATACGATCCTCACTAGTGCTCGTGACCTTATATTAAAGTCAGGCCGATATAATAAAGTGTTACTCATCGGAGTGTAATGGTCAACAAGCTGGACTTGTATCTCATTAGTTGTGAATAGGATCCTCACTGGGTGCTTCATACTTGTGACTTTGTGCAAGCTAAAAAAAACCAAAAAAACTACAACTCTTAATGACAATAATTGTTAATTAGTCCGTTATTCAATTTTAGGAAGGAACTCACGATTCATAGCTTTTGAGATTATCTCGCTATTCAAAGCTTTTAGTTATTTACTTATTTATTTGTTTTTATTTCCAGATTTATAAAAACTGAACGTTTCAGAAGTGGGAAGTTATAACAAAATGCGCGTAAAACCCGAATTCACTCATGCAGCAAATTTAACCTAATACCTGTGGAATTACGCATGGAATTACTTTAAAATATGGATTTTCCACAATCATACTTATTATAAAACCCAGGTTGTGTGTGTGTGTGTCTGTATGTGTCTGTTCGTTTATATATTGGATCGGATTTCCTACATTTTTCAACCGATTTCAACAAAACTTCACAGGACTACGTAAAATTACCTTGCGGTGGTTCTGACAGCGCCAAAAATTGGAAAAACACAATTGTTTTTGTACGAAATCAATTTGAAAACACGATTAAGAGGCATCTCTATCGCGAGAATGAAAGGGGGATTTCATATCGAGTTATACTTATTATAAAACCCAGGTTGTTTGTGTTTTGTGTGTGTGTGTTCGTTTATATATGGAATCGGATTTCGAACATTTTTCAACATGATTTCAACAATGAACTTTTTTTTCGGCAGATAGTGTTTCTTATTGTCTTGCACACGTTTTTTTTTTATTTTTACATTCAGAATGCTTAAAAAAATTCCATTTACAAGACAATTGTTTTAATAAAATTTATTCAATCGGTAGACTCATAACGATTGAAAACAATGTTTTTGTTTGAGTTTGGGTTTGACCAATTTGTAAAAAAAAAAAAAAAAAAAAACTAATTAAGACATGCGTGTCCGTCAACCTTAAACAATAATCTTTGTTAATTTTATTTTTCAGTCTTTATGATGGTCGATACTTGATCTATCTCTTACTGTTACATCCCCGGGCAACGCCGGGCTCTACTGCTAGTGTTTATTAAGAAACAGAATAAAAGACTTGTCTTCACGATATTTAATAAACCGCCATTTTGGGGGTAGGACAGCAGCATGTGTTTTTTTTTTTTTTTTTAAATAATCTAATTTGTTTTCCATATTTTTATATTTATGTCTTGCATGTTCTGGTTGGTTTAAAAATTTATATATATATAATAGACCTGTGCTGTAACACTTCTATTGCTAACAACTGATGATCTCGTTTTGATCCACACTCTCTGATCTTTTTATCAAGTGTAGAGGTCTTGTTGATTGTTTAGGATTAAGTTTCCGGTTTCTTCATCAACTCTCAACTTCTAACCTCCCCGTCTAAACTTTTAAATTAAATTATTTACTATTTATTTATTTTTCTCAATAGGAGTAGATAAGTTCGCCTATCGTCCGGTTCCCACACCTCTTCGGTCTTTTGAACAAGAGTAGAGGTTTATTCTTTGTTTCCTGTTTAAGAAGTGGGTTTCCGGCTCTTTCTAAAGTCTTTTCATTCACTTTCACCCCCAGTAGCCCCTTGCGTCTCAGTGGAATTATCTACTTGCTTGGAGTGAACTTATTTGAAATATATAAAGGAAATCCTTATTATTTACCATTTTATAAAGTTCGAATCTATTAGCAATTAGCCGATGTTCTGAAAACCATTTCAATAAATAGTATAATAAATAAATAGTGTTTAATATTTTTGTTGTAAATTCTCAAGAACAAAGAAAATGTATAAATTCACTTTCATATGTTTAGATTTGATTACAATTCTCATCATTGGTTTTTTACAACAATAAACATTTCCGAGGAGTGAATGTAGTTAAAAAAAAGAAAGAAAAAAAAAGCGGTGTCAGTGGAAAAACCATCCTTTTTGACACTCCGATTTTGCGGACATGAAGGTCCATGTTTGCCCTTTTCTTTTTTTTTTTTTAGATAATAACGGTTGAATGATACAAGTCCTACTAATTAACCCATAGCTGAAGGGAGAAGATGCGGATTCATGCCTTCCCCAAGTATATCTACGCGTAAGTGAACACAACGGGAACAAAACTGCGCTCTTTTCCCCCACCACAGAGAACCCTAACCGTACCTCCCATTAGAATGTCTGATGCACACAGCTCTACGAGAGCACCTCTACGAGCTCGGATACCCCACTTTAAACTCTTGTGTCATATCTTGCTGCGTGGGGCAGCGGGTAAATAATCATTTCTATTCTATCCTCTATTGCTATATGGACCGCTATTCTCTACTCTATTCACTATACTATTCTCTATACGGATTACTATCCGGATCACTATTCAAGCGAGTATTATCAAGCAAGTACTATTAGTGGGATTAATATTCGAAGGCGCCTGACACCAGCATTGTTCAACGGCGTTACTATAGTTGTATCTGCGATTACAAAGTCTCTACTACAACGAGCATTACGAAAGTGCCAAACGAGTTTTCGTTGACGTCACAAAGTGCTGACAACCATACATTCTGTATTCTTGCAATTGATATTGAGTCCTTCCTTCTCGCTTTCCTTTACTACTTTTTGGAGGAGTTCTTGCATTTTCTTTCTTACTAATAATTTACAGACCAGAACTCTCTATACTTGTCCAAGAGTCATCTAACAAAATTATGAATGGTAACAATTATCTGGATTGATTTGCATCTTTTATATTCGCACCGTTTGTTGTTAATTTTTATCTTTACTTGTTTTTATTTTTTACTGATAATTTATAATGATATTCACAACGGCCAAGAGCCACTCGAGGCAGAGAGTTAGATGAGGAAAAAACGTTAGAAGGAACCAGAAACCCAATCCTAAGCAGGAAACAAGAGATAAACCTCTTTCTTTCCCTCTCCTTAAAACAGAGTTTAAAAGATCAGAGTGGAGAGAATTCGTGAGGAAAAGAAAGCATATATATTCATGAGAAAGAAAGAAATGAAAGAAAGAAAGAAATGCAGAAAGACAGAAAAATAGAGAAATAAATAAATAAATAAGGAAAAATAGAAACAAACAAAGAAAGACAAAAAGAAATACAGAAAAAAAGAAAGAAATGCAGAAAGAAAGAAAGAAAGAAAGAAATGCAGAAAGAAATACAGAAAGAAATGCAGAAAGAAAGAAAGAAAGAAATGCAGAAAGAAATACAGAAAGAAATGCAGAAAGAAAGAAAGAAAGAAAGAAATGCAGAAAGAAATACAGAAAGAAATGCAGAAAGAAAGAAAGAAAGAAATGCAGAAAGAAATACAGAAAGAAATGCAGAAAGAAAGAAAGAAATGCAGAAAGAAATGCAGAAAGAAAGAAATGCAGAAAGAAATGCAGAAAGAAATGCAGAAAGAAATGCAGAAAGAAAGAAAAATAGAGAAATAAATAAATAAGGAAAAATAGAAACAAAGAAAGACAAAAAGAAATACAGAAAGAAAGAAATGCAGAAAGAAATGCAGAAAGAAAGAAATGCAGAAAGAAAGAAAGAAAGAAAGAAAGAAAGAAAGAAATGCAGAAAGAAAGAAAGAAAGAAAGAAAGAAAGAAATGCAGAAAGAAAGAAAAATAGAGAAATAAATAAATAAATAAGGAAAAATAGAAACAAAGAAAGACAAAAAGAAATACAGAAAGAAATGCAGAAAGAAAGAAATGCAGAAAGAAATGCAGAAAGAAATACAGAAAGAAATGCAGAAAGAAAGAAAGAAATACAGAAAGAAATGCAGAAAGAAAGAAAGAAAGAAAGAAAGAAAGAAATGCAGAAAGAAAGAAAAATAGAGAAATAAATAAATAAATAAGGAAAAATAGAAACAAACAAAGAAAGACAAAAAGAAAGAAAGAAAGAAATGCAGAAAGAAATGCAGAAAGAAAGAAAGAAAGAAATGCAGAAAGAAAGAAAGAAAGAAAGAAATGCAGAAAGAAATACAGAAAGAAATGCAGAAAGAAATGCAGAAAGAAAGAAAGAAAGAAAGAAAGAAAAATAGAGAAATAAATAAATAAATAAGGAAAAATAGAAACAAACAAAGAAAGACAAAAAGAAATACAGAAAGAAAGAAATGCAGAAAGAAATGCAGAAAGAAAGAAAGAAAGAAAGAAAGAAATGCAGAAAGAAATACAGAAAGAAAGAAAAATAGAGAAATAAATAAATAAATAAGGAAAAATAGAAACAAAGAAAGACAAAAAGAAATACAGAAAGAAAGAAATACAGAAAGAAAGAAAGAAAGAAAGAAAGAAAGAAATGCAGAAAGAAATGCAGAAAGAAAGAAATGCAGAAAGAAATGCAGAAAGAAAGAAAGAAATGCAGAAAGAAAGAAAGAAATGCAGAAAGAAAGAAAGATATACAGAAAAAAAGAAATGCAGAAATGCAGAAAGAAAGAAAGAATGAAAGAAAGAAAGAAAAAAATGCAGAAAGAAAGAAAGAAATACAGAAAGGTAAAAAAAAATCGAATTGAAAATTATTAAAAGTGCTATCAAGAAGAAAAAAAATAAAACTCACCATAGCAGTAAGATCCGGAAAGCTAAGAGACTTCCTCTGAAATGTGAAAATAATCGAAAATGAAACATAATTTAACAATTCAATATAAATGAAATAAATAAGGTATTAAACACATGTCTTGATTAGCAACCAGTCTTGCGCCGAAAGAAACGGCAGACTACTGCAGGCAAATCGTCTGCCATCAATCGAAAAGAGGTATAATCGCCAATGCTTGTGTCACGTATGGCAACTGATTGACTGTTGAAACACTAACACTGGCTTGTTAGTATTAACGTCTCCAAAACAAACCTGCTTTATTTTAATCACCGCAGAGAACATTTTCTGTCTGCCATGAGTATGGCTGATGCTAACCTCCAGAAAAGCAACACCCCCTACGTCTTCTTGGACTCACGTTTTTCCATCGACATGAAGTGGAGTGATTATATTGAATCAATTGCTACGTCTAGTACCAGAAATGTTGCTTCCTTGTGCATTGAATACGGTTGCCATATTTTGTTTGCTGCTCCTGCTATATCTCTCGAGATTGTTGACAAATTTCAAAGAAGGGCCTGCAATGTAATCGATCCTGACCTGGCATCGTGACTTCAGTTACTTTCTCACTGACATGACATGGTTTCCCTCTGTCTTTTCTACAAATATTTTCATGGCAACTATTCTGATTAGATTTTTTACCTGGTGCCTCGACTGCATAAATTTAAGCATGCTACTAGATTGCCAGTTAGGTCTCACCGTTTTACTGTTGAACTAGCTAGATGCTACCGCCACTTCTACTCCCACCTGTGGAACTCCGCCACTTCTACTTCCCACCAGTGGAACTCCCTTCCGGCTTCTTGTTTCCCTGTTCCTTTGTTGTCCTTTTCATCACTTATTCTCACTAAAACAGGGGTCGGCAACTCATTCGACCCCGCGGACCGGATCGTGTGATAATGATGGGTCGCAGGCCGGACGAAGGCCATTAATGAAAAATTAAGGAAAATTACATATGCAGACCCCTGTCAACCTAAATATTTAAAACCATAATGAAAACAAACATTGAGAAATCAGAAAAACAAAAGAAAATCTAAAATTAAAAAACACCTAACAAAAATTACTTTTCCTCAAGGAACGTCACAATACTTCAAAGTGAAAAAATCAACCAAAGTGAAATGGATGAAATTATGACGTGTAGGTTTGAAACTGTTATTGAAAATTGTTCCACAAACGAACCACACCCACCCACACACACACATCAAACAAAAACGAAGCACATATACCCATACATACAAGTACAAATAGTTGCAAACATATACATTTTACGTACGTACACATGCGGTATCATCCGCACATTCATGAGGCATGTATGTATAATGCGCGTATGTTTAACTGTCTTTAGATTTCTGCTACCTCGCATGTCAGTCCCTCCCTGGCCTCTTTCACTTTATCGTTCCTTTCGCTTCTGTTATCTTTTAATGTAGCCAAGGATCATAACAAATATGTATCCATTATTTGACATTGAACGTAGGCAATGCAACTTGGTAAAATAAGTCTCATGAAAGATAACTGGCAGATAGTCTAATATTTTTAGTGCACTGAGATGTGTAGACATTCTATGGAAAATGACATATAACACATTTCATTAGAAGGTCGTCTCTCATTTTAAAATAATAGAGTCATTGGTAATCAGGCTCGCGGGCCGGTCAAAATGCCTTCGCGGGCCGTAGGTTGCCGACCCTTGCACTAAAGCCTTCCCAATCAATCCCTTTCACTTCATCTAACCAACTTTATCCCAGTGGCTTTATCACCTTTCTGGGGGTGAAATGATAAAGAAAATTAGGCATCTAGGATCACCAAGTGGACTGCAGCGGTGTGTCTAGGACAGAATAACCTGACGGATCCTATCCCTCTTCAGGCTGGTCTTCTTTATAGATTGATTGCCACCTTAGGCAAGAGAGGCCAATCAGACCTGCTATATAATCTCTATCTGGTGGTGGTGGGGGTGGATTCATTCCTTTCCTAAGGAGATTTATTTGAAAGTGAACGTCACGAACGAATCCGACGCGAATTCGATTTCTGTTCGCCGGTTCCTCTTTCCGAGTAGCTCCTCTTTACACTACGTCCTTTCATCGAATAACAATAAAGACTGAGTTCTCTTACCTTGGCTCACAATTAGTCTAGGAGAAGGGAATAACACTACGGGGAAGTCAACGCGAAACTACACTATTATCTTTCCAATAACAATTATGCCAATGGAGAATTTACAGATATTAAAGATAAAATGAAGCTGACATCGTAAACTCTCTCATAAATTACTCGTCGCCTAAGTTGAAGGACCAGTGAATAGGTATTGGCATTTGATATTTAAGCTGATGATAAAGTTTCCAATTGTGGGTAGCTTTAATATAGAACAGGCTGCGCCAGATGTAGTTTCACCCAACACCACCACTTGCTACAAAACCAAAACATTAACCTGAAACCTCAAGTCATGTGTTTAAATAGCCTCATCAGATTAAGATTTTCATATGGATGTCATCCATGACACCAAACCCTTTCAAAAATATCTAAACTCTCAGCTGTATAGTGATTCTCCAAGCGTAGCTTAGATGTTGCACATGGCCGAAAAAATCCAGTGAGGATCGAACTCACTACTCAGTCGTAATTGTTCTAGCGAGATAAACTTGCTAACCATTACACCGCCTCGAGGTGCTCAAACTCTCAGCTGTATACAACCGTTTCCAACGATAGCTAACAAAGCGAGTGAAGCCTGTGGGCTTTGGCAAAGATCAACCTTTTTTTTTAACATTGTGAACTGGCACGACAGATTCACCGATCTGCATTTGACTTGCTGCCATGGAGGAACTCCCGACTCATGCCTTGTTCCAGTATTAGATAAATTGAGCAGGAGTGCCCTAAAGAAATTGCAAAGTGGAAGAATTGAAAGCCTCTATATGACGACAGAGAGGGCGCCCTGAGGTGGTGCAATGGTTAGCAAGCTTGTCTCGCTAGATCAATTACGACTGAGTAGTGAGTTCGATCCTCACTGGGTGCCCCATACTTTCGGCCTTGTGCCACATCTAAGCTACGCTTGGAAAATCACTATAAAGATAGAGAGAGAGAGAGGGGGGGGAAGGGAGACGTGTGCTTCGTCAACATTCCGTAATTTGTTGCCTGAAGAAGTCTCCGGCTTAAAGCTTGAAACCCCGACTCCAACTTGGAAAGGAAGAACAAAGTGTCACGGAATTAGAAATTAGAAATGGTCGTTAGCCTGCATACTTGTAGATTCTTATACGAAAAAGTGTTCCTGTATAAACCTCAGTTGTATAAATCTTTTTGATCTACACAACTTTTTTTTTTTTCTTTTTGTCCCGCCTGAACGACACGAATCCAGTGATATCTGGCGGCAATTTGATCCTTGCCTGCCTTGAGATCAAAACAAACACAACTTGGGATAGGGAGAGGTTTGAACTCCACGGTTAGCCGCAGGATTCGATCACGGACACACCGAGGATGGGATGGCATTGTCATTAGCGCAGGGACCAGGTCGTCCCACAGCTCCTGAACATGTTTTCCTGAAAAATGTTTTAAGAGAAAGATTTTATAAATTTCAACCAAAAGCAGTACTGGCTGTTGGGTCAATGAATGCCAAAAGTTTCCTTATAGGGAAACGGCTAATATTATCATTACCATTTGGTAGGTAGTTATTTTAAAAAATGGAATGGAAAAATGTGAAAAGTGAGGGGTTTGCACAGTTTTATATCTCACTGTATAATACGCCGAGTGTGTTTGTAGCTATTTTTGTTGGTAACGTTTTGCTATATAATGTCCAAGTTTCTGATCCAGTCCTACTGTATGGATCAGAAACTTGGACATTATCTGCTCGTCTTGAAAGACGACTGGATGGAACATATACAAATCTACATAGAAAAATCCAGAACGTTAGTTGGAGTTCCCATGCAACGCTTAACACAATTTACATAGAACTGACACCAATCTCTCTTAAGCTCCAACAAAAACGATTGCAATTTGCGGGCCAGGGAAAATCGTCTCATCCTTACTCCTATGGTAGCCTTCTGAAAGTGTCTTCTCGCGAAAATTGACTTTCCCAGACTCCATAGCTCGGGACTCGGGGTTGGACATTGGGGATCTGGGGCAGCAATTCAGGACCGAACAGTGTGGAAAGGAATTGTCAATGGCTTTCCGACCAACCATAGGGAAGTCGAAGGATGATGATGATGGTGATGGTGATGATGATGGTGATGATGACGATGATGATGGTGATGGTGATGGTGACGATGATGATTATGATGGTGGTGGTGATGATGATGATGATGGTGATGATGATGATGGTGATGATGATGATGGTGATAATGATGATGACGATGATGGTGATGATAATGATGATGATGGTGATGATGATGATGACGATGATGACGATGGTGATGATGATGACGGTGATGATGATGACGGTGATGATGATGGTGAGGACGATGATGATGGTGATGATGGTGATGGTGATGATGATGATGGTGATGATGGTGATGATGATGATGATGATGATGATGATGGTGATGATAAAGTGTTATTTCTCTCCTAATAACAACGCTAGGTTGCGGTGTTGTTATAACAATGTCGGGCTGTTTCAAGATATTTACGAAGGTGACAAAACTGACTGTGGAAGATTAGAGAAAAACAATAATTCTTCTTTTCTTTTTATGTGCCATGACCTTTCAGGACGTAGGCGATCATGGCTCTCCACCTCCCTCCTATCCCTTGCAGCTCTCAGCAAGCTCCTTCCCTCTGCTTCCCTTCCCCAGACCACGTTTTGTCATCCACCTGCTCAAGCTCGTCAGGTATATCACGCTATGCTTTCCCTTGTCTCTCTTTCCCTTTATTGCAATTTTGCTGTTATCATTGCATGTTTTTACCAGAGCTCATATTGCAACTGTTGTTATCATTGCTTTTCTCTGGCACTTCTTATTACTGGTTCCCATATTGTATTTATTTCTATGCTTGAATAGAATCGGAAAATCACCGTTCGTATCTTAGTCGGGGGTCACCAA